TGCATAAAGAGAACAAATTTAAACTCAAGTTAACTGGATTGACCCAGAGGACTGCATGACCCTGATCATGATCCATGGGTTTTATTTGCTATGCTACTTTTGATGAGAATATTGCAACATGCTTAAATATACAGGACCTTTGGGCCTCTTGTTTTTTTATAGAACTACTTGTATATAATACCATTTTTTTGCTATTTCTGGAAACTCCTTAAAAAGCTATCTTACCTTATACATGTTCTTGTGAAAAGAAATCCATCTTTTGGGAAATGAATGATTTTGATACAAAATGAATAATGGCTTAAGGGATATGAAGTATTACGTGCCTGAATGGATTTGATGTATCACAATAGCAATCTCTCAATACATACAAAAGCAAAAACGATCATGTAATGTACCTTGTTTTCTTGGCTGCAGTAAGATCGTCATGGTACAGGTATGCTGTTTGTATAAAATATGAAATTATCTTGACATAAGGGGTTATAAAGGGGTAATTATATAACACAAGAATGTCATTGTACGACGATAATTACATTGTATATAATATGTTTATGTCTTTATACGGGGATAATTATATAAAACATTACAAGAAAGTCTTTATACGGAGGTAATTGTATGAGACAAGTAGGACCTTATAAAGAGGTAATTCTATAACACAATGATGCCATTATATGACAGTAACTACATGTGACAGCATACAAGCTGGTCTTTTTACAGAGGTTATTGTACAATACAGACTGCTAGGACTCCATGCCGACACAATGTAAGAAGTTACTTAGCTGCTGACCTTTATGGATGTGGTATATATATAAACAATTAATCCTGGCTGCCTACTGTGCAGACAAGGCGTTGTAAGGCTGATTCCTTGAGCGGGTTTGATTGTCTCAACTTTTGCGGTATATGTACACATGTTCCTGTTGCTGTATTGGTTAGGGATACAGAGAAACAGTATAGATTGGAGGCAGCACAGGTCTCATGGTTCCTACAGCTGTCTACTACACTGGCTGCCCAATGTTACGGTAATGGCTACGGTTGACTACAATGTGTGTGTGGAGACATGTGCATAACATTGTTAGTGCTAATGATGTCATGTCGTTGTTTCTATGGTGTTGTAATTTTGTATATATACAGGATATGCATGAATTATTGCTCATTATTTTCATGTTACATGCCACTGTGCTGTGGGTATTGTCTGGAAAATAACTGTTGACTTGGCAGTATGGTACATTACAGTGTAGGTCAGCACCACTGTGATGTTGTGTGAAGGTTGCAGTGACCTTATTTTTATTTACATTGACCTAATTTGTAGGTTACTGTGATCTGATTTTTGTAACATTTGTAGGTTACTGTGATCTGATTTTTGTAACATTTGTAGGTTACTGTGATCTGATTTTTGTAACATTTGTAGGTTACTGTGATCTGATTTTTGTAACATTTGTAGGTTACTGTGATCTGATTTTTGTAACATTTGTAGGTTACTGTGATCTGATTTTTGTAACATTTGTAGGTTACTGTGATCTGATTTTTGTAACATTTGTAGGTTACTGTGATCTGATTTTTGTATTATTTGTAGGTTACTGTAACCATCACCTTGTTTGATGTTATTTTAAATGACCACCACCCATGTACCTATAAATTACATATACAGATTTTCAGTGATTTTGATTTGAAGGCCATATGGTACTGGTGACCTAATTTGTTATCAGTGACCTCATTGTATAGCCCACACAAGGTTGCTGGATATTATTTATTTGTTTGTACAATTGCCCCAATTGGTGGGTCACTGTGACCTTGTTTTGAAGATATAAGTAGTGACTTTGTTTATGACCTATAAGTAGTTTAAGTGACATAATTTGGTGTAGGATATAGCTATATACAGTATATATAGTGACCTTGATTTGAAGGTTGTAGTGACTTTGTTTATGACCTTAAGTGACCTAATTTTGTGTAGGATATAGTGACATTGATTTAAAGGCTGTAGTGACCTAATTTAGTATTTTTTTTCATTAATGACCTAATTTGTAGTATATAGGTGGCAGCTGTGGTATCTGGTTTGTATAGTTGACCTCATTTACCCAGTATTGTAAGGTCTCAGCTGTAGATTTCGCCGACAGAATATGTACAGGTTTATAGCATAAGGTTTATAAATATTGGTGTTGTTGATTAAGTATACATTTATATATTATTTGACCTTACATTATGCTTGTCTGTTAATTCCAAACAGAAATAATAGTCCTTGTGGTGTTAAAACAGGGTTTATTGTTTAATATCATCAATAATATATCTATGTTGAAGCTAATAATAGGAATATTTATGATATGTGAATTAAAATAACTAGAAAATATTGTTGAGATGTAATGAGGGAACATTTGCAATATAAAATTGTGTTGATTTATATTATTGTTTCATTATTTCTCTTTCACATTGTAAGTATATTTGTAATAATGTCTTAAGATGCGATATTTTAAATCAATTTGAAAGTAAAACAAGCCGCTTGTTCGGACACACCCAGTAGACTGCTCGCTGTGCATGTAAAACTGTCATAAAATTATCCCATTTAGGAGTGAATTGGACCATAAGTCAGATTTAAATAAACCAGAGCAATTCATCCTGAATAACTAACTTAACGTTTGTTTGCTTAAAACTAGAGTTCATGGATATTCATTGTAGGTCAGGTCACAAACATTCTATCGGTTCTATCACTGAAATGTGGTAAACAAAACGACATCAGGCTCTGACATGTTGATAGGACGGATTCCAAGCAGACTCGTACCCGTGCTGGCAGTGCTGCAGGCAGTGCTAGACCATTCTGTGTAGCCTTCAGCTGACACATGCAGTACATCAGTATGACATCATGCTCAGATAATTGAAAGACAATTCAAAATGTTAATATATATGTCAAAATGACTTTCAGAAAATAGCTTCTATCACCCTTGTGTGAGGAAGACACACTGAACACTCAAATCTCTCTCTATATATATATCTGGATAAGATGTTTGAATGTCCAGAATGTGCTCGGCAAAGTTTTGCTGGGTAAAAAAATCTTATCCTTGGGTTAAGATTTCTCTGTCTTCACCAAAGATAAATGAACATATACCACATAGAGGTTTATATTTGCTGTTTAAATTATTTGAATTGTAGTTTAGTGGCTCTAGATCTAGGTACAATACGCACGCTAAGTGTGAAAAACAAGGAAATTAATGTACACGGAACTTCACTGAAGAAAGGATATGATTAAATTGTACGCGTAACTCGATATAACACGTAACTCGATCTAACGTGTGACCCACACTCTAATGTTGCTTTGAGAGATTTGAACTGCCTGGTCCAGTAAATGTTTGAGTTCTGTGTGGATCTTTCACTGTGATGGGTTCTTGTGGTAGGTTTGATCTTTAATACACTGCATATTATCTATGTGGGAAATGACACAATAATATATAACTGTACAAGATATATTAAGTAATCTTCTGGTGTTTAAATTAGCTTCAAATTCCAGCTTGATCAATTGTAAGCTTACAAGTGAAATGCATGCTTATTTTAAGAATATGCTGGTTAAAAATATACCCTTCACATTATTGGTGTTCACCTATATATTGTCTAAAAGATAACCCTAAGTCCCTGGTGGCTATAAGTATCATTGATACATGTACTCGTTCACTGTGTTATTTGTTGATGTTATTCATGTTATTATAATTTAATGAAGACTTTCTTTTAAGTTCTTGCAAGTGATTTTTTTATGTCTAGTGAAATTTTTGTATCATTTGCAAAATTTTCTAAATGGCTAAAATAGTAAGTTTCAAACTTTAGACTATTGACTTTCTTCCAGTTCTATAACGGATCATGGTGGCTGAGTTGTTAAGGTATCTGAAAGTTATTCCCATAACTTTACGGGATAAAGTGCATAAATACATGTAATGACTGACAAACGATATTTTCTTGTCTAAGTATTATCTTTACGACACCTGCATGTACTTGTGTGCACAGCTATGTCCGAAACATGATAGCACATTTGTGAACATTCTGCCACACTCATGAAATGTAACTACGGGTAAGATCCTCCATGTAATTATCAAACAGCAGGAACCAATCTTTGAGTAGAACATGTAATATAATTTTATGAACATGATTATTTTTCATTATATATTTTGTAACAATATTTTTATATACACTCTGTAATACCAAAATATGTTTTTAAATGTATTTAAAAAGAAAAAATATGATTATTAATTATTTAATTATTTTTTTGCATAATTGTAGATAGAATGACCATACCTCCACATAAGTGAAAAAAATATCACAAATTACATATACTGAAACAATCCAATTTTCTAAATATCAAGAAAAATTTCCTGCTTTCATCAGGAATGATGTAAAGATGTAAATACTTCAGTGTATGATAGGGAAGCTGGAAACACAGCGACCGCTACCAATGAGTCATGGTGTCACACAATCTGCCCACTTCCCATAGACTTGCTCAAGTCCTCTTGTCAAAAAGATAATGATGGGCTGATGATTGACTTTGATAAAAAAAAAACAATCGATTTACCTTTCTGATTCCGATTATCAATTACAAATTCCATAATCAATATAATCAGTTCATTATTGAAATTAAAATGTCAAACATAAACAATGTAAAGTGTAGATGGGATGAACCTGTTAAATCGGTTAATTTGGTAGGTTTATTTACGAGCTAGAATTGTATATATCTAATGATATAATAAAACCTGATCTACTGACAGCAAGGAGGACTATAACGTTTGGTGGGATTGTGCCAGAGGTTGAGCTGCGATAAAATACCAATCAACTAGTATTTTGGGGTCATATAGTCATAAGATAAGACAATTGCAAAAGATGAGTCAGCCAAGTCATGTGTCGGTCACCTCAGGTGTCGGTCAAGTCACAGATGCCAAAAAAATCATGTTTTAATCAATACAGACTTTGTCAGGTGTCTCTTTGATATTTTAATAGATGTGTATCAGGTAATTTTGTTTTTTGAATTGTAGGTGGACAAAGGGGGCCCGCCCTCGGCTAAGACAGATCCACACCAGGATGTCTGGGGCCTACTTCCACCGGGGCATCACCAGACTAAGGGCTGAGGAATTTTTACTCGGGGCCAAGGAGGATGGTAGCTTCCTAGTCCGTGACAGCGAGACCTTAGCGGGGGCATTTGTGCTGTGTCTACTGTAAGTGTGCAATAAGGAACCAAATTATATACTAACACTTGACGTGAGTACTTACTCTATGTTCATGTCCTACTGGACCTATAGTGGGCGCATTGTACTGTGTCTACTGTATTTGTGTAATAAGGTTTGGTATCATTTCGTGTAATGTCCGAATAACAGCTAAGGTCATTTAAGAATATGCCTCCATGTCTATTGTGTAAGCATGCATGTGTGGCGGACATCAGGTATGTTGGTGTACTTGCCTCCTTGTGATAGCAGGGATCTAATGCCGACTTAATAGTGCTATCTCAATGAAATACCATCCTGAAGGCACCCAGCACAGCCTTCCACCTGGTCACATTATACTCACAACGGGCCGGGTGAACCAGTTGTTGCCATAACCCTAAATGCTGAATGTTAAGCAGGGAATAGCAACTACCAAAGAACTTGCCTGGGGACAGAACCCATTGCCTTCCTTACCTGGGTGAACGTTCAACATTAAAACCAAGCAAGTGACTAGGAAATAAAGGTAGTTAGAAGACGAGAGAAATGTTCAGATTTCAAATATTGCAATGGGTGCAGCAGATTTGTTTTGGTTGCTTTTGTGTCCCCAAATAGGGGGGGGGGGGGGAACAAATGCAAGTCCCCAATTCTGCAGGGGTTTCCTACATTAGTCTCCTCTTAAAATAAATGCAGTGGAAAACAGCAGGTGTATTTTTTTCTTGATCCCGACCTGCAGGGGTGGTGTAATAAGGAACCAAATTATATACTAGCACTTAACGTGAGCACTTTAAAGTCCTACTGGACTTACAATATAAACATCCCTGTTAATGTCAAACATGCATGTACAAATTGTGTGCAATACACATACAACATGTACATGCTACACACATGCAAGTTCTGTACACTATCACAGAAAGTACACACTGACAAACAACCACCTAAATGGTAAATGGTGTAGTCATTTATTACGATTTATTTGATTAAAAAAAATGGACACAAGAAGAGAGTTGCCTCTATATCAATATCAACCTTGTTTGTCACATTTATGATGAATGATGAAACTTTATACATTGACATACAATTTTTGTTTTTTAACTCTAAATGTTGTGTTTAATTATGACTGCGCTAATTGCAAGTTTTTGTATATCATTTGTGAATGTGCCAAATCATCAATGCCCTAATCTAATAAAATTGGATAATACGCTAAAATTTAAGCCCGCTAAAATAGGTACTTTTACAGTAAATCTAATTAATGCTCCTGCTGGTCCCTATTTAGTTATGATGTTTTAACTACCTATCATCTGAGTTTGGAATCATAAAATGTTTACAGACTACCCCCTGCAATGTTTTTATTAAACTTTGAAAAAAAAATACTTTGGACAAGAATATAGGAAGTGAGCCTTTTGAAAACTAAACATTAAGATAGGAAGGCAAACCCCTAACAAAGTACCTGAGACTCACCGACTGCTGTTCTGTGTTCGTTGGGATAATGTTTGATTAAGTTTTTAAGATTTTAATTAATGGGATCCATCGGTTCGTGTTTGGTGTTGATTGATCTCTGTAGGGAAGCGTATCAGTGGTGTAGCCCCTGGGGAGAACTAATAGTTCACAGAGGTGAGGGGCTTATATGTATAATACACATGGCAGCCCTGTTTGTTTTGACTGGCAGAGCCAACACTATAAGGTTCACTAGGGTCTGTCTGTAGACATTTAGTAAGATATTTGGTTCTCCAGCAACCCGGCAAAAGCTATCTTGGTTTTGATGACGTTTGTGAGGTGTAGTGTTGACAGGTTAGGGAGTATTAATGACCTACAGTCGGCCAGGCGTGGCATTTAGCAACTGTAAATCCATCATTTGTATTTCGCAAATTAGCAATTATTCGTTTTCTGGAAAATTACTTATCGATCCTGTGCTTTAGGTTTACTGAAAATTGTCCTAACCTGATGAGTGGATTTTTTTTAGAGATGGCTCAGGAATTTATGCCAGCTTTATATGTCACTGTATCTGTGTAATAGCTTACCATTAGTTATAATGTATAACCCTTAATTATCGCTGCACTGCATTGAATATATAAATTTTAACAGACAACTTCTTCTGATGAAGTCGGTTATACATTCTAAACTGTCTGAGCTCTACCATATAAACGTACAGTTAAAACCAAATTGATCTTCCTGTACAGGTGATAAAATCGAAAAGATCTTTTAAAAATTAGGGAAAAGAACATAAGAAAACTTATTTTTCATCTTAGCTCACCTGGCCTAAAGTGTTAAGTGAGCTCGCCTGGCCTCAAGTGTTAAGTGAGCTTATGCCGTGCACCTGGCCTGACATGCCAAGTGAGCTTATGTCATGCACCTGGCCTGAAGTGCCAAGTGAGCTTATGCCGTGTTGTTGAATGAAAAAAATATGTAATGATAATTTGATATAAAAATTATCAATAAAATTGAAAATAAATGTTTGACTTTTTCTGACTTTTTCAAAAACCTTTACTTTAAAATTTTAAAAGGTATCTGTATTTTCATATACTTTTTTAGCTGTATGTTAACACAAGGATATACAGTTATTTTTGGTTCAGCTGGCCGATTGTCTTGTCAACTTTTTTCAGAACCATAGGGACTAGCTATAGGGTCATGCTACTTGGCTAGAAACTGCATTAGATAAAGCCAAACATAACAATGTTTGTGAAAAAAAATGACCTTCAACATCGCAGCACTGCATTGAATATATAAACTTCTTCTGATGAATTGGAAGGCCTAAAGTCATGAAATTTGGTTATTAGTTTGCAAGCATAGAGGGCTATGAAGTTGTGAAAAGAATTGCCCTTGGTCTATATCTAAGGTCACAGGGGTTAAATTTGATAAAACACTCGACTAACATCTTCTAAAGGATGAAACACCTTCAGAGTCATGATATTTGGGCAATACCTTACTAGCATAAAGTGGTGCAAAGCTTTTGAACAGAAACGACCTTGACCTGTGTATTCAAGGTGATGGGAGAGAAATTTGTTAAATTGCTCTAACAACTTTAAAAAAAAAAAAAGTCCTGACATTTTGATATAATATGTGTATTGCCAGTAGCTTGCTACCATAGAGTGCTACAGAACATGCAAAAAGAAATTATATTGACTATAGCCAAGGTCACAGGGGACAATGTGTTAAACCCTTTAAACAACCTCTTTGGAATAACAAAAAAGTGTGTGATCGTTATATTTGACCTGTAGTGTGCTGTGGTGAAAGGCTTTTAAGTTTTTAAAAATAAGTGACCTTTACCAACCTTGAAAATCTTATAAGAAAAACACTCTTAAAACAAAGATTTATACGGTGTAGAGTGTTGAGTTTTATCCTGTAGTGTTGGCTTACTTGGTATCAACTTTGCTTATAGTAGCTATAGATAGCAGGTGAGCAGTACAGGACCATTGGGCCTCTTGTCGACACATTTAACAAAATGCCAGAGTGTTTGCTTGTTGTTACATTGATCAGGATTTTAAAAACACAGTACCCTGTTGTAAGCATACCTAATCGTTGGCCTGGGAGTACAGCCAGTTTTATTGCTTGGAATTTGTTTCCCTTGAGAATGGGGAAACTTAATTTAAAGTTCCTTGCCCCAATAGTATTTAGTTGTGTCAGGGAAACATTTGTTGAAGAGAGGTTATATATTGAGCCGCAATGTAAATGTTATTATAGCACAGATCCACACACCTGTGTTCAACAGATGTAAGATTAAATGTTAACTTACAACTCTGTTTCTGTGGCATTATTTACAAGGTTTCACATAAACATGTATATACAGACAAGGTGAAGATATTTATCATCCATGTATATATACTGTAGTTATCCTACAACAGGCCCAGGGGGCCACATCAAGTCTCAGGACTCAATGAAGGGGATTGTTCTTATAACAGGACAAGCCCAGGGGGCCACATCAAGTCTCAGGACTCAATGTAGGGGGGGTTGTTCTTATCACAGGACAAGCCCAGGGGGCCACATAAAATCTTAGACCCAATGTAGGGGGGAGGGGGTGGGGATATTACAGGACAGTGTAATGGCCTTTGCTGGCAGTTGTACTGTACATCAGACATACAAGTTTATTGCTTCCTCAATTGATCACCATTCATTCAGTAGTCCAAATTGATTATCATTTACCGTATTTTACCTTATGTTACCGCTGATAAGCCCAGGGGGTCTGTGCATGGAAACAGGTCAAAAGCAGGGGGTGGGCTTATCACCGAATATGAGCCTGTACTTTACCGGTCATAGGCTCAGACCCGACATTGTGGTCCTCTATTTTGGTAGAGATATCAGAGCTTACCTAATACAAACTCATGTAGTAGTTTGTTTTGTACATATATATATATGGTACGTAAAGTGTTACATTACCGTTTATAGTTTGCCGTCTCAAGAATAAAAATTTAAAGGAAAAAATAATGGGGGATCAAGGAATGAAATTTCCTTTTTATCAATACTCATTATTGGGCCAAATTCATCCATCATTGCAAGTTTGTTATCATGCATAAGGATGTGTATATTTATATATGTATATGAAAATATAAACTAAAGAAAAGTCTGCAAGTATATTTGTGAGGTTCACACATTTATGATGGCTCATAACTTCAAACAAAGCCTGATAATATTACATGTAGCATGCAAAGTTATCTATGAAATCGAGATACATTAAAATGCATTAAGACACATGTATATACCAGAAGTCTGAGATAATAACAAAGCTCCCAGTTAGATAGTACATCCTGTAAGGCCTCTGTTAGTCTGTATGATTGGGGCAAAGTCTGCACTGCTTAATGGTATGATTAAAAGAAAATTTGTGTTTGTAAAAATTTCATAAATATTTGTAATTCTGAAAAGAAAACTTTTGTGAAATTAAAAATTGCGAAACAAATCCAATAATCATTAAAACCATTTTTTTTTTTAAATATGAAAACAGCACTAACTTCAGGGAAGCTGGGCTGAGGGTGGTAGAGTGCTGTGATGTGGTCAGCTTCAGACAGGCACCTGCTCTGCTATAGAGTGGACCCTATCTTTACTGTCAGTGACTCATGGGAAATTCTATATCCTAGTCCTCGGCTATCAGAACACCATACAAAGGCCCTGAGATAAACTGACCTTTGATATTAGAGTAGCACACATGTTAACCTCATTATGGCTACAAGTTTATCTTTTTACTCAATGAATGATTAATATACAAGAAGTTTGAGATAAGATAATTATAAAGATATCATAATATAAAAGGGGGAGAAAATCACCGAAAGAACAGTCATCAGAGAGAGAAAGGGAGGAGGGGGAGGAGGGAGACAGCTCCTGTCAGTTAAAAGGGGGTACTATTGGTAAGGGATGGTATATAGGAGACCATAGCAGAGTGAGTGGACATACACTTTAGCACCACATAATGTAAAACAGCTGATCAGTAAATGTCATTTGCCAGTGTTGATTGGCTGCACCCTGTCGACACTGCTGGTGTATAGCACTTAATCGGGTATAAAATGCTGCTTACACTTGATTCATTGTGTGGCTGTACTTTTCATTTATGTTTTTGCTTAGCTGTGTTGTAAACACCTTCAAACATCATCTGCTACAGAACTACAAGGCACAGAGTCATTATAGCTCACCCAACTCTGACATTTCTCCATAATGTCTCTGACAATGAAATGTTTGTTCTTTTTTTATAATAAAAAGATTCACCTTACTCTGCCAACCAGTTCAGCTGTACGTGTGGTTATAAACTAACATTACCATAGCTTAATAAATTGTCAAGGTCTATCATTTTTGTTCAAATAAATGACCTTTACATTCTTAAAAGTTCACAGGGGTCAAATATGTTAACTATGTCATTTGACCTCTTATAGAACCATGAGTCTATCATATATAAGAATCATTGATTTTGTTTGTAGTGTATTTGCAATAAATAGGTTCATTCTAGGTTATTACAGATATAATGAAAAGTAAAGGTAATTATAGGTGTACTTTACAATATAAGTAATCACAGGTGTGATATATACAGTACAGTAGATAATTATAAGGTATGATCTTGTTTTATGACAGATACCAGTCTAGAGTGCATCAGTACCGAGTTTTACCTGGAGCTGATGGAAAACTCTCTGTCCAGGTAAGTTAACCTGTTATTGTCCAGGTAAGTTTACCTGTTATTGTCCAGGTAAGTATACCTGTTATTGTCCAGGTAAGTATATATACCTGTTATTGTCCAGGTAAGTATACCTGTTATTGTCCAGGTAAGTAAACCTGTTAAAGCCGACACCCATTTCTGTTGTTAATTAATGGTTCCATGATTGATTAGCTTAATTTATCACACATTATTAAAACTGGACACACATTGTGTTTGTCCTGTTACCAGGGTGATATTAAAAATGATCACCCTCAGATATAAAACGCATACAAAGTCACATGCTTAGAATCAAATAGTTTTGAAAGTTAACACTACAATGTGTATTTTTCTCTTCAGGCTGAAGGTGGCAATGTAGAACCTAAATACAATAATCTAAATGAGCTCATCGCTGACTATATCAAAAAGGGGGACAAGAATGGGCTCATCTACGCAATGAAAGTCCCGGTATCTCCAGAGCGAGGCGAGGACCCAGACACAGGTAATTAGTACCTCAGTTACCGTAGTCACTGGTAAAACCCACCCAACCTCAAGTTAGTGTTCTTACATAATTTACAGTCAACAACAAGTTAACCTGTCTGCCCTCATCCCTCCCTGTGACATAAACACTTTTTAAGGACTTTATAGTATTCTGATGTTGACATTTTTGTGAATAAAGCCTCAACAGGATGTTGCAGTGATTTTCAAGTTCGCTGAATATAAATTGCTCTCATTAGAATAAAATGTCCTTACAATTCCTGATAGTTTGTTTGATGTGTTTGGACATGTAGATAATGATATTTGTTAACAGGATATCATCAAATCTACAAAAGTGGGTAATTTAATCTTATAAGATGATTTCTCTGTCACTTGCTAGGGTATGTTTTCTCTGTCACCCCCTAGAGTATGTTTTCTCTGTCACCCCGTAGGGTATGTTTTCTCTGTTACTCCCTAGGGTATGTTTTCTCTGTCGCCTCGTGAGTATGTTTTCTCTGTTACTCCCTAGGGAATGTTTTCTCTGTCGCCTGGTGAGTATGATTCTCTGTTACTCCCTAGGGTATGTTTTCTCTGTCACTCCCTAGGGTATGTTTTCTCTGTCACTCCCTAGGGTATGTTATCTCTGTCACTCCCTAGGGTATGTTTTCTCTATTACTCCCTAGGGTATGATTTCTCTGTCACTCCCTAGGGTATGATTTCTCTGTTACTCCCTAGGGTATGATTTCTCTGTTACTCCCTAGGGTATGATTTCTCTGTCACTCCCTAGGGTATGATTTCTCTGTCACTCCCTAGGGTATGATTTCTCTGTTACTCCCTAGGGTATGATTTCTCTGTCACTCCCTAGGGTATGATTTCTCTGTCACTCCCTAGGGTATGATTTCTCTGTTACTCCCTAGGGTATGATTTCTCTGTCGCTCCCCAGGGTATGATTTCTCTGTCGCTTAGTGAGTATGATTTCTCTGTCACTCCCTAGGGTATGATTTCTCTGTTACTCCCTAGGGTATGATTTCTCTGTCACTCCCTAGGGTATGATTTCTCTGTCACTCCCTACAGTATGTTTTCTCTGTCAGCATTGCAGGAAAAAAATATATACTTTTATGATTTGGGAGCTCTCTGACACGATTTCAAGTAAAACATCAAAATTAGCTCTCAATGGATAGGTCATTTTCAAATCTGGATAAATAGTAGATTGTAAAACTAATTGTTTTCAAACCTAGTATTGGAATGATAGGAGAATTATAATCATCAACACCTTGGGGGTGATTAATTGGTTGCTTAACACTCATCAGCAGAGACGAGGGTTAAACAACCATATTAATCACCCTTCTGGTTGGAGATTTCACTGTCACACCCTCAAAGTAGGGGAAGGTTTTATTGCTCCATAATTATAATGATTTATGATATTTTTTGAAAACGCTTTTGTTGACACTGTAGATGAGGATGACTTTGAGGACATAGGTCTTATGCAGCAGCAACAACACCAAGTGAAGTTGCCGTCTTACGTAAACATCTCTTTGGCTGGAGACAGCAGTAGTGTGACGGTTAACGGGCCTACACAACGCCTACAGATGGAGCTCCTCAAAAACTTCTCCCGTCTCAACCTCACAGAGTAGGTACACTTGTACCGTACCCCACCTAATAGGTGTACCATGTACTTGTACCGTACACCATCTAATAGGTGTACCATGAACTTGTACAAAAGACCATCTAATAGGTGTACCATGTACATGTACTATACACCATATAATAGGTGTATCATGAACTTGTACCATACACAATCTAATAGGTGTACCATGTACTTATACCAAACACCATCTAATAGGTGTAACATGTACTTGTACCGTACCCCACCTAATAGGTGTACCATGTACTTGTACCGTACACCATCTAATAGGTGTACCATGTACTTGTACCATACACCACCTAATAGGTGTACCATGTACATGTATTGTACCCCATCTATAATAGGTGTAACATGTACTTGTACTGTACACCATCTAATAGGTGTACCATGTACATGAACCATACACCATCTAATAGGTATACCATGTACATGTATAGTACCCCATCTATAATAGGTGTACCGTGTACTTGTACCGTGCATCATCTAATAGGTGTACCGTGTACTTGTACTGTGCACCATCTATTATGTATAGCATGTACTTGTACCATGCACCATCTAATAGGTGTACCATGTACTTGTTCTGTACCCCACCTAATATCTAATAGGTGTACCATGTACTTGTTCTGTACCCCACCTAATATCTAATAGGTGTACCATGTACTTGTTCTGTACCCAACCTAATAGGTGTACCATGTACTTGTACCATACACCACCTAATGGGTGTACCATGTACATGTATTGTACCCCATCTATAATAGGTGTAACATGAACTTGTACTGTACACCATCTAATAGGTGTACCACGTACTTGTTCTGTACCCCACCTAATAGGTGTACCGTGTACTTGTACCGTACACCATCTCATAGGTGTACCGTGTACTTATACTGTGCACCATCTATTATGTATACCATGTACTTGTACCATACACCATCTAATAGGTGTACCATGTACTTGTACCGTACACCATCTAATAGGTGTACCATGTACTTGTACTGTACACAATCTAATAGGTGTACCATGTACTTGTTCTGTTCCCCACCTAATAGGTGTACCATGTACTTGTACCGTACACCATCTCATAGGTGCACTGTGTACTTGTACTGTGCACCATCTATTATGTATACCATGTACTTGTACCATACACCATCTAATAGGTGTCGTATGTACTTGTTCTGTACCCAGCCTAATAGGTGTACCATGTACTTGTACCGTACACCATCTAATAGGTGTACCATGTACATGTATTGTACCCCATCTATAATAGGTGTACTGTGCACTTGTACTGTGCATCATCTAATAGGTGTACCGTGTACTTGTACTGTGCACCATCTATTATGTGTACCTTGTACTTGTACTGTGCACCATCTTATAGGTTTACCATGTACTTGTACCGTACACCATCTAAAAGGTGTACCATGTACTTGTACTGTACACCATTTAATATGTGTATCATGAACTTGTACTGTACTCCATCTAATAGGTATACCATGTATTGTACCGTACACCTTCTAATAGGTGTTCCATGTACTTGTACCATACACCATCTAATAAGTGTACCATGTACTTGTACCGTACCCCACCTAAAACCATCTAATAGGTGTACCATGTACTTGTATCATACACCACCTAATAGGTGTACCATGTACTTGTTCTGTACCCCACCTAATAGGTGTACCATGTACTTGTACCATACACCATCTAATAGGTGTATCATGTACTTGTACCGTACACCATCTAATAGGTGTACCATGTACATGAACCATACACCATCTAATAGGTGTACCATGTACATGTATTGTACCCCATCTATAATAGGTGTACTGTGCACTTGTACTGTGCATCATCTAATAGGTGTACCGTGTACTTGTACTGTGCACCATCTATTATGTGTACCTTGTACTTGTACCATACACCATATAATAGGTGTATCATGTACTTGTACCGTATACCATCTAATAGGTGTACCATGTTCTTGATCTGTACCCCACCTTATAGGTGTACCATGTTCTTGATCTGTCCCCCACCTTATAGGTGTACCATGTTCCTGTTCTGTACCCCACCTAAAAGGCGTACCATCTACTTGTACTGTCCACTATCTTATAGGTCTACCATGTACTTGTACCGTATACCATCTAATAGGTGTACCATGTACTTGTACCGTACCCCACCTTAAAGGTGTACCATGTACTTGTACCGTACACCATCTAATAGGTGAACCATGTACTTGTACCATACACCATCTAATATGTGTTACATGTACTTGTACTGTACACCATTTAATATGTGTACCATGTACTTGTACTGTATTCCATCTAATAGATGTACCATGTACAAGTACCATACCCCACCTAATAGGTGTACCATGTACTTGTACCATACACCATCTAATAAGTGTACCATGTACTTGTACTGTACCCCACCTAAAAGGTGTACCATGTACTTGTACTGTGCACCATCTTATAGGTGTACCATGTACTTGTACCATACACCATCTAATAGGTGTACCATGTACTTGTTCTGTACCCCACCTAATTGGTGTACCATGTTCTTGTTCTGTACCCCATCTAATAGTTGTACCATGTACTTGTACCGTACACCATATAATAGGTGTACCATGTACTTGTTCTGTACCCCACCTAATAGGTGTACCATGTACTTGTTCTGTACCCCACCTAATAGGTGTACCATGTTCTTGTTCTGTACCCCACCTAATAGGTGTACCATGTACTTGTACCGTACACCATATAATAGGTGTACCATGTACTTGTACAGTACACCATCTATAATAGGTGAACCATGTACTTGTACAGTACACCATCTATAATAGGTGTACCATGTACTTGTACCATACACCATCTAATAGGTGTACCATGTACTTGTACCTTACACCATCTAGGTTGTTTACTTTACAAATACTAAATATCTTGATTTTTTATTGGTAAATAGTTATTAGTCTGATATCTGAGAAAAGTATTTATATGTGAGAGAGGTTAAAGATAAGATTCAAAGGCAGTATATACTTATGGAGTTAAGGATGGTTGGGTGGTGCAGTGAATAATGCTCTTACCTCTAACCGAGATGACTGCTTGGTTTGATAACCCAGTCAGATGTGTAAAGGTATGGTGTCATCATCACTTGTCTGACTGTTTAGGTTTTCCTTGGGTACACTGCTTTCTTCCCACATTGATCTGGGCAAGAGTAATTAATTAATTTTGTTCGTATTTCTAGTGGGCTAGAAATTGTTTTAAATTATGTTTAAATGTTGTTGATTTCTTTTCAGACAGGTGTAACTTACATAAGTGAGCAAAAGATTCATCAAGACTTTTTTTGTATCTGCAGCTGTGATACAGAATTTACAGATGTGCTGAAGAAGTACATAGACAAGGGTCTGGACACTGATGTCACTGCTAGCCAGTCAGGGGAGACAACCCTGCCTGAATACCAGAGCATTATAGAGGGCGCTGCACGAGGTCTGAAGAGGTATGACATTTGACAGTGTTAAGAACACAAGCTAATTCACAGATAATTAGATATATTCCTCAAAGTCATAATTATCATACAATCTCAGTGAAGTGACGGTTTTCTAAAATAAGTAATACTGTACAGCCGTATATTTCTGTGGTGATGATATTTTCGCGTTCATGTTATTGAGAAAGTATCCTGTCCGCAGAATATGACAAGCCTAAAAATGAGCCATGATGCTAAACTTCATAACTGCAATGTCACCAATCTGATTAAAATCATAAGTTACATGGCTTCATTAACTTCGTACTATGCCTGAACATCTGAGTGTGCCGCGGTCAGGGTCACGTTCAAGTGACCTTTATATTTATAAATACTCATTTAATTTTGACCAATCAGAGACCCTCTTTCAAAAGGACGCTCGGAGTTGTAACAAATATGGCGGACATTGATGAGAATGATGCGAAAGTTCTGAAGTTATTTGAGATTGATCGTCTGAAACCCGAACAGAAAAAGATATTCGAAGCTTTATTAGAGAATAAAGGCTGTGTGGCGGTGTTGCCTACACAATTAATACCCAATGCGTACGTTTTCGTTGGCGTCATAGAAACGTCAGTTCCCGCTGCCATATTTGTTTTGGAAAACTTATCTGTTCGATACCCCTCGCTATTTATCTATCAACCATGATATTCCGATTTGCTGGCAAACTTTTGCCAGCGTGCCTCTGATTGGTTCATCTAAAGGTCACTTGAACGTGACCCTGACTGCGGCACATTCAGATGTTCCGGCGGAGCCATGTAACAGATGATTTTAATCAGATTGCAATATCACCTTAAAATAGCAAGCATGTGGTTATGACAATTCATATACATGAAGAGTGATACAATAAGAAGTTATAATAAATTGTTTATATCACACATCTAGTAGTTTTGTTGATGGTTTGTTTGACAAAATACATTAACCTGCAGTGTTTTTCTCTTCAAATGGACTATTAAAGTGAATCCAGAAATTTACCAGGACTATAAACGCTTTCAATTAAATAATGCTTCAGTTTTAAACTCTCACTGTATCACACATTGATACTGACCTAAAATTTCACCATTTAACCAATGAAACAGATAGAAATTAAACAGGTGGTATTTAACACTGCATTAATTGTGCTGTAGGCAAAAACAGCAAACAAACAAAAAGCACACAAATTAAAGAAAGTAACACGTTATACACACATACCATTGTGATTGTTTCCTGGTAGGATTATTATTGACTATGAGAGCGAACTGAAAGCTGATCAGTAAGTCAACTTGTGAGACGAAATTCAGTATTAAATCTGTTTACAGAGAATTAGAAAGTTTTATGAAAAAAATGGCCATCTTTGACGAATTACTGGACATTCCAAATGTTTGTCCTGGGATGCAGCAGATGTCAGACAAGCATAAGGTGAGATTGAAGTTTCGTCATCATATATTCATAAAAAGGAGAAGGAAAATACAAAGAATATGTCCGTAATGTGACAATTACATAAATATTTCTAATTCCTGTTTTCGTTATCTTTATAAGATGTCTATAACAAGAAAAAATGATAATTGTTTATATGAATTTACACTCACAAACCTGTATCATCAAACAATAACAGGTTCATGTTCTACTGTATAAGGCTATGATTATCTTTGGATGTGTTTCATGTTTAAAGTGATATGTGTGATGGTAGTACATTATCATTTTGTAAAAGATAAGATAAAAATCCATCTTCAGTTTTGTCACTACATTAATTAAGACCAGTTAATTCAGTAGAGGAAAAATTGATCAACTGTATATAGGAAAGTTCCATCTGAGGTTAACAAAAAAGTTTTTTGTCCAATCTAAGGAACATGGCTCCGGTATACCAGCGATGTTGGAACTCATGAGTAACTGTACGTCGGATGTCATGACATTGGAGAGTAAGGTAAAGAAGTCTAAAGTAAGGGGAATAACTCCAAGGTGTTGACACATGACACTGGAGAGTAAGGTAAGGAAGTCCAAAGTAAAGGGAATAACTCCAAGGTGTTGACACATGACAATGGAAAGTAAGGTAAGGAAGTCCAAAGTAAGGGGGATAACTCTAAGGTGTTGACACATGACACTGGAGAGTAAGGTAAGGAAGTCCAAAGTAAGGGGGATAAGTAAGAGAAGTAACTTAAAGGGAAGTAACCATTAGGTAAGGGGAGTAACTCCAATGTTGACACATGACATTGGAGAGTAAGGTAAGGAAGTCCAAAGTAAGGGGGAGAAGTAAGAGAAGTAACTTAAAGGGAAATAACCATTAGGTAAGGGGAGTAACTCCAAGGTTGACACAAGGGAAATATCTTAAAGGTAAAGAGAATCAAGAATCATGTTAGGTGAATAACATAAAAATAAAGGAAATAACCCTTTGGTTAACACAAGGGAAGTAACTTTATAGTAAGGATAACTACTCTATAGTTAACACATTCACATGGGAACTAGCTTAATAGTAAGGGGAATACCTCTATTTTAAAGATAAGATGAGTAACTTATAAAAAGGCAATAGCTCAATGCTTAAGACATGAAGTGTAACTTATAGGTGGCAGAGTACAGTAGAAATGGCTTGACCCTAAAAATAAAGGGCATGTCTCGGATAAACATGGATAGCGGATTCATCCTGCACAACACACCTACATATATATATATATTTTTAAACTACATTTTGAAAAGGTGTTTTTTAGAAGAACATTTTTTTTTTCAAAAAGTGATTTCCCCAAAAACTAAACTAACTTTGTAGTTTTCAGGAATAAAATTTCTTTTTGGGTAAAATATGATGCTTTAAGATCATGTGCATGTGAAAAACAAAACAGTACAGTGATACAAGGATGTTTCTGTCTTGTGTGATGACGTCATAGTTACTGTGATGTCATCATAACTATGACGTCATCAATGGGCATCTGTGACATCATCAAGGCTCACTGATATCAAAATGAATACCAGGAAACCCATCACAACAACAAACTAGAAACAGACACACTTCCCGTAACCGATGAACAGCACAAAAATGTCAGATATTCTGAAACATCAGACAAATGACACCATAGCAACCGTTGTTTACTTTCCTCGCCTAGAATTGACAGTGACCCCAGACATTGGTCATTTTACATATTTCACTAGAAAAAAAAGTTTTCTTCAGCTGTAATTATGGAAATAAAATTTATTGACATTATTGACTTTGTTAATTTAATCTGTAAGCTGAATCAAGTGGAAAAAAACATATAAAATAGTGTAATTAGAATGAAAACAGATATTTTACCCATTTTCAATAAATACAACTTTATGTGTTAGTTACCATGGATACCGGGTGCTGAACTAAGTGAAACAGACTGAAATCTGGTCTGAATGCATCAGGAGATAGCCTGTTAATTATTTGTTGTTTGGTATCAACTTTACCAATTACACAATTGACACATATGTGATGAAGTGTGAAGTGCCTGTGAAAAGGGCGAGTTAACCCCTCTTTATACATTCACAGGTAATAGGCTAGTGACCTATATATTGACCTTTATATGTAACTTTTTAAACGTTTTGAGTAGTTTTAAGCAATAATGAATGAAAGTGAAGCTGAATAAAGCATAAAAAGGCTTTTTTTCAGAAAAAATCAATGTCTGTGTGTATAAGGTGGCAGAGTACAGTAGAAATGGCTTGACCCTAAAAATAAAGGGCATGTCTCGGATAAACATGGATAGCGGATTCATCCTGCACAACACACCTACATATATATATATATTTATAAACTACATTTTTAATAGGTGTTTTTTAGAAGAACATTTTTTTTTTCAAAAAGTGATTTCCCCAGATTTGGGACTTCTGAAAACCATGGTTACCACATCAAAAAACACCAAAATATGCAAAAAATCATGATTTTTAACCCAGAATTTGACCCCCGCAAGTAGAATTGTTTTTCTTAAAACCTGTCTGAAATTAAATATCGCCTACTCGGTAACAGAAATACTCACGTTTTAGCATAGGTCATTCCGGTGGATTTTTCACAATATTTACACATGTGCTGAGTACAAAAATAGACTACATGAAAAGCTAGCTTTTGTTGTGTAGACACAGATTCGTAAATGCCCAAAATTGTAGTCTCAAACCAAATTCGACTTTTCTTTTTGTAAAATTATGAAGCCCACATAGTCCACTTCATCATGTATATGCCAATTTTAGTGCTGATTTTTTTTTTAAATTTTGATACATGTTATATTACAGGGGTTATTCATTGTATAAAAATATCACCCATGGCCACCGTACGCTACTGTACTCTGCTACCATAGGAATGAACAAGAAGGGGAATTACTCTAAGGGTAGGATAAAGTCAATAAGTCCAGGTTAATACAAAATAAAAGTTGGTTACAAACAGTTCCAGTATAAGTTAAATAACTCTTAGTTTTTAAAAGGAAAATATTCATAAGATAACTATCAGAGTGTCAAAATTAAGGTAAAATGAGTACCGTAAATTTGCGGGTATAGTGCACAGGTACGTTTTTAGGTAGTGTTTATGTAAAGTGTATAACCACAATGTAAAGGGTATAACCACAATGTAAAGGGTTTAACCACAATGTAAAGGGTATAACCACAATGTAAAGGGTATAACCACAATGTAAGGGGTATAACCACAATGTAAAGGGTTTAACCACAATGTAAAGGGTATAACCACAATGTAAGGGGTATAACCACAATGTAAAGTGTATAACCACAATGTAAGGGGTATAACCACATTGTATAGGGAATAACCACAATGTAAGGGGTATAACCACATTGTATAGGGTATAACCACAATGTGAAGGGTTTAACCACAATGTAAAGGGTAAAACCACAATGTAGAGGGTATAACCACAATGTAAATGGTATAACCACAATGTAAGGGGTATAACCACAATGTAGAGGGGATAACCACAATGTAAGGGGTATAACCACATTGTATAGGGAATAACCACAATGTAAAGTGTATAACCACATTGTAAAGGGGATAACCACAATGTAAAGGGGATAACCACAATGTAAAGGGGATAACCACAATGTAAAGGGTTTAACCACATTGTAAACGGAAGAACAACATTGTTAAGGGTATAACCACAATGTAGAAGGTATAACCACAATGTAAGGGGTATAACCACATTGTATAGGGAATAACCACAATGTAAGGGGTATAACCACATTGTATAGGGTATAACCACAATGTAAGGGGTATAACCACATTGTATAGGGAATAACCACAATGTAAGGGGTATAACCACATTGTATAGGGTATAACCACAATGTAGAAGGTATAACCACAATGTACAGGGTATAACCACAATGTGAAGGGTTAAACCACAATGTAAAGGGTATACCCACAATGTAAAGGGTATAAATACAATGTAAGTTTAACCACAATGTAAAGGGTATAACCACAATGTAAAGGGTATAACCACAATGTAAGGGGAAAAACTGATGGTGATCTCTTGTATTCATACTTATATAAAATATACAGATTGGTTTTTGTGTAGATTTTGATAAAAATATAAATTATCCAAATTTTTTCTGAATATGTCGTTGAGTTAAGAAAGCTGATATTACTTTCTCAGATCTCATTTTTGTAAGCTGCCTTTTATCTTTAAAATCTCCTTTCCAAGAGTTTTGTACTAAGAAAATGTGGACTCATATCTTTATGACAGCTTATTAAATTATTGACATAATAACAAATTTGATTGGTTTACAACTATTAATGCATTGATAGAACTCAGGTAATTCCAAATGTCAAATATTTCTTATTTAAGGGAGATAACTCAAATACAAATCATAGATATTAAACTATAAGGTAGCATATAACCTTAAGGGAAATAATTTAAACACAAATCATAGGTACAATGTGTTGGGCATTATTTATGGTATATTTAGGTTACAGTTTAGTCCTTTATATGTTTTAATAAAAGAATCAAAAAGAACAATGTGATTTTTATGGGAATACCAATCATTACCCTATAAATAAAAAAATATTGTATTAATTAAAATATCATTGGTTTTTTTATTATTCTATAAGAAAGATTTAATTTAAGATTTCCTCTGTCCCCAAACCAGCATGATAGGTTGACCCTCTGCTTCTATTCCAGGTACAGGACACGGTGAGGTATTATGCTGTCTCTCACTACGACTATGTGGAGCCAGAAACAGAAGACAAAGGGGTACCGGATGACCTTACACCCTTTTTGTCTCCAATGGGTAAACCAGTCATTCCACGGATTGAGTTTGAGGTAGGATGCCGTGAGGTTGGGTAAAACTTCATTTAAAGTGAACATCTTGTCTTGTGTAGTTAAGTGTAATGTCTTACAGAAACATTATCTTCTTAGTGATAATTATGGGACAAGACTAAGTTTTAGGTTTATTGGATTTTTGAAACGAAAAAAATAATATTTGCAATAGGATTCACTGAAAATTTGTATGTATGTCTGATTTTTATATCCAAAATTTCAGGAGATTTTGTACATTTGTGGGACATATTATGGTTATGAATTATCTCATAGTAATATGATTAACTTTCCCTGATGTAGCTGTATGTAATGCATTAATTGCCCCTACCTGATGCCCAGGAAAGGATTAAAACCTGGCTTTCTTTTCTTCAATTTAAATTGTATGTGTGACACTTTTAATGTTAAAACCAACATTTACACAGATTACTTCCATTAAGTGTATTGGGAGGAAAGACATTCATTTACAAAAAGTGTCCCAATAATAAAGCTATTTAACTCTCCTGTCATGTTGACTAGGAATGAAGACATCTGTATTAATAAAACTATGCGTGTATATACAACCTGTTAGAATTGACCTTGTATACAGATCCCACTCCTACTGGTACTACCCAAGCGGGCTATAGGTTTACATTCGTCCAGAGCATATCTCATGTCATTTCTACCATAGCTGTTGTATGTGAGGATCTCTTGGGAATGACGAGAGTGTTGCATGCTGAAATCCAGTCAGCTGCCCATTAATATATGGAGTTATGGCCCTTTATTCAGGACTTTTTTTTATCAGGTGAAGACTCCGACGTATAAGCAGACGGACAAAATCACCTCCAAGATGACTCTAACTATAGACATTCCAGCGGGTAAAATGTTTGCCGTTAAACCTTCCAAGGAAATCCTCGACTCCAACAGTCTCATCACACACGACAGAAGTAGGTATAGGACTCCAACAGTCTCATCACACACGACAGAAGTAGGTATAGGACTCCAACAGTCTCATCACATACGACAGAAGTGATTGTGTTTCAATAATATAATTATTTGAAGCAAAGGTATCACATACAAGTGAAGTATGTGATAGTTAATTTTTAGAGTGATTAATATTTAATGGAATGAAATGATTATATATTGTTGTTATAACTATAAGTACAATATATGTTATATCATGTTATATGTAACATAAAACCACATTACAAATGTAAACAATTCCCTGACTGCCGCCCTGTCTGGGTGTAGAACACATAATCTACCGCATCAAATCACCAAGCTAAAAGAAAACAAACCTAGCTTCGATGATTCTGTGGTCCTCAGCTTGTTTCTCTCAACATGGTATAGCAGTGACAAACTGACTATTTATTTGAAATTTGGATCACATATATGAGTATGCATTGCACAAATTATGTGAAGTTCTTTTTACACAACCAATAAGATTAAGATTAAAATCAATAAGATTAAGATTAATAAGATCTTATTGGTTGTGTAAAAAGAACTTCTCATAACCCAAACTTATCAACCTGAAGAAAATGTTAAGAAGCATTGCACAAATATTATATATTTGACACAATACATACGATAATGACACGTAGTACATACCTTTGTATCAATATTCACCATTTATTGTATGTATTAATGAGATAGAACATAGAACCATAAATAATTAAAAAAGACAATTTATAAAATTGTGTCCTGTCCAGACCTTACACCCGACCTGTATGACATCTAATTGCCTCGTCGATATTGCGGCCACTTAAAAGTGATGACACTTCTGTCATACTGTAAAACCAGTCCGAGCTGGCTGTAGGAATTTGTCAAGAGTGCTTCCTAGCTTTGGAAACCTGGAGTTGAATTTGATCCATGTATATTTTTGCTTGGTTTATGAAGCTTCCCCATTCAGATTGGTTAATTGGTTTCCTGGCAATAACACTCCTAACAATGATATGATTTTGACCTTTGGTAGGTACTTACATCAGGTGAAGTTTTAGTCCAGATTTGATTGCCAACAGGATGATTGTCTCCTATTCTGGTTGGTTAGTTGGTGTCTTTTTTGTGGGACCTCCACAAAAAAATGGTTCAGTTCAACTTCAATTTGATTTCATAATTGTACAATATTGCCAAAAATCAGAATATTCATACACATTTACTAGTATGGGTGCAACAAGCCTCGTCAATGGACTACAGCTTTAATCCTTTCACCACTGTAGACCATAATGGACTCATCCATATCAATGCATGGTATAGTCTACTTAAGTTACAAAGGGGTGAAAGGGTTAACATATATCATTGTTAAAACCAAAGACACGTCTTACTTATAAAGGATTTATCTTTGACAGGAATACTTTATAACAGTGTTTCTGCGATAAAACAGGTATTTTACACGAAACTAATTTCTAAGTTCTTCATGGGATTTCAAACATTTTCATAGTATTTCAGGAGTTTTCATGAGATTTGGAAGAAGCTCCATTTAAAACCTCTAAATACTCCTGTAATCTTTTCAGGAGTATTTAAAGGTTTTGAATGGGGCTTCTAGCTACCACCTAGGCATATGTGCCAATTTCCCCTATTTTATTTTAACAGTTGTACAGTTGATCAAAAGCTCATCGGATAACTGTCGCCTTGACCTTATCTACGACACAAAGAAGAAGATGACCTTCATCTTCAACAGTGCACTTGTCCGGGAGAACTTTTGTCATCGAATCTTACAGATGAAAAACATGCATTCCAAAGATGTAGAAGTTGACCAGATCTCCATCTTCATTGGAACATGGAACATGGGTAAGTGGCATGGGAAAACAATGTACCATATCATAAAATACAGGTAGAAAATCTCAAAGTTGATACAAAAAGACAAAAACAGGTAGTAAGGAGACATCAAAACAAAAGGAAAAACAACATGAACCACCATGTAAAACTAGGTGCTTCAGAAGGGTGACTGTTTCCTTCACCACATGTGGGGCTTGTCAAATCCTCAAAAATAGTTATGTCACCAATGAACCAAGGCACAGTGACCAAGTCTTTGATCATGGAAGACGTAAAAACAGCATAGGTGAAAATCAGGTCAGATGAGTTACACAGAAGCCTGTCAGGTAGAAAAGACTGGCTGAGTCATGTATTTGTCAACAAGACAAATAATGCATTCTGATACTTGGAACAATAACGATATGTACATTTCATAAATAAGCAAGTTATTGTGACATGTGAACTCCATAAGCAGGTAAGGTATTTCTACTCTTTGAGATAAATAGTTTCAAATTAGTTTGCAACCACAAAATTTTATCAATAAATTCAAATATGTCACAAATGAAAACAAAGGGGTTTTGTTTTATTGCTGTTCATTTCTTGAAATCTCTGTGAATAAATTGTTTAAAGGAAAATCATGAAAATAAATATTCAAAAATTGAATTATTGACAATATTGATATTGTACTACATTTTGTATTTTACTAGTTTGACCATATTTGTAAGAATAAAACATGAAACATATTTGTTATATTGAAACATATTTGTAAGCATAAAACTATTTGTCAGGTGTTCACAAAGTCTTCCGAGGCTTGTATTACAAGTCTTGCCATTCTTTCCAGTTGAAAAACTTTGTTTCATGTAAAGTAATAAGCTCCTTCCCTCAACTCACGCTATATACTCAGGCACATTCATAAATTATGTATCTTTGAAACCTTCTTATAAAAATGACAAAATACAAATGCACAATAATTTATCTAAATGGTGTTACTTTGGGATCAATTTAAAATCGAAATGGTCACCAATATTAATGCTGTGTTCTTGAAGTCACATTTTACTTCAACTCCAGATAATGTTTTTCCGATTTGACAACTAAGATGGTCACCAGTACGTTATCTGTTTTTCTGATTTGACAGGTGACAGTCAGCCATTGAGTGGTATTGCTCCCTGGTTGCGGTGTAAGGGCTGTAGTAAAGTGAAAGACCCACAAGTCCTGAGTGTGATTCCCCACGACCTTTATGTGATTGGTACACAAGAAAGTGCACAGACGGATAAGGACTGGGTCAACTTTCTCAAGAAAAACATCAAAAGTAACTTCTTGTTGGAGGTAGAAGTGGTAAGAATCTTGTAAATTGTAGGAAGCACACATCAACTTTATAGTTAGCACACATCAATCTTATAGGTAGCACACATCATCTTTATAGATAGCACACATCAAATTTATAGGTAGCACACATCAACTTTAAAGGTAGCACACATCAACTTTAAAGGTAGCACACATCAACTTTATCGGTAGCACACCTCCACTTTTTAGATAGCACACATCAATCTTATAGGAAGCACACATCAACTTTAAAGGTAGCACACATCAACTTTAAAGGTAGCACACATCAACTTTAAAGGTAGCACACATCAACTTTATAGATAGCACACATCAACTTTATAGGTAGCACACCTCCACTTTATAGATAGCACACATTAACTTTATAGATAGCACACATCAACTTTATAGGTAGCACACATCAACTTTATAGATAGCACACAGCAACTTTATAGATAGCACACATCAACTTTATAGTTAGCACACATCAATCTTATAGGTAGCACACATCAACTTTATAGATAGCACACATCAACTTTATAGGTAGCACACATCAACTTTATAGGTAGCACACATCCCCTTTATAGGTAGCACACCTCCACTTTATAGATAGCACACATCAACTTTATAGGTAGCACACATCCACTTTATAGGTAGCACACCTCCACTTTATAGGTAGCACACCTCCACTTTATAGATAGCACATATCAACTTTTTAGATAGCACACATCAACTTTATAGGTAGCACACATCAACTTTATAGATAGCACACCTCCACTTTATAGGAAGCACACCTCCACTTTATAGGTAGCACACCTCCACTTTTTAGATAGCACACATCAACTTGATAGATAGCACACATCAACTTTATAGGTAGCACACATCATCTTTATAGGTAGCACACCTCCACTTTATAGGTAGCACACATCAACTTTATAGGTAGCACACATCAATTTGGAGATCAAGAATTACTCCCCTCATTCAAACGCTACCCACTGGGTAGTAATAGTGATAAAACTGTAATGTTTTTTCAACAGAAAATAACATTCAAATTAATGGTATATCAGTCAAATTAGTGGAAAATCAATCAAATTTACAGTATTAATCAATAATAACAATTTTACTGTAACTGTTAATATCAAAGTTTTTTTTTTATAAAGTTAACAGCTCTTGATGGTACATGTACCAGGTATATCAGGTTCTCTGTAACCATTTTTGAAAGGCATTTAGTGTTCATTACTTTGGAGAGAATTCCCTGTGAGTTTCTATTTGATAAACTTAGACCTCAATTTTTCCTTGAAATTTATTCTATCACAATCAACGTTTGAGGTCACTCTTTGGTATAATTTTGTATTATGTAGGAAGATTAAACTATTTTGATTCAAACAGTTGGTTTGTTGGTTCAAACAGCAAGGCTTTAGGACTTAAATAAAAGACATACACCATTTATATACTCATATATGATTTCTGTGACAATTAATCCCCTATCTGGTATATATAGGCTATGAGTATGGAGGCAAGGTAGTCTAGTAGTCTAGAGGTAGGACGCTGGGCTCGTGACCGAAGGGTTGCGTGTTCGAGTCACGGCACGGCATGGCACGGCACTGTGTTGTATCTTTGAGCAAGATACTTTACTCCGCTTGTTCCAGTCTACTCAGCTGTAAATGAGTACGTGGTTGGGCAGTGCTAGAATTGTTGAAATATAGCTGTTAGCGCTGAAATGGCAGCTCTGGCTGTATGCTCCCCTGGAAAAAATCTGCTGTAGTTTAATTTTCACCTTTTTCACCCACCATAATGAGTACAAATATATCATTACATCGAAAAAAAGTAAACAACATAATATACATAGTAATAAAATGTGAAGACGAAATTAAAACTGGGCAAATATGGATTTTTCTAGCGAAAGGCGAAACTTTTCCAGTATACAGTATGTTACATTTTGCTCCGTCTCTACTGACCTTGTCTCCTTAGCTTTTCACATGTAAGTATGGTCACTTGGGTATATTTTTAACACTTTGCTACCTTTTGTGTTGTTTTTAACAGGTGGAGGTGTGTACGTTATGGGGTATAAGACTTGTGATACTTTTAAAAAAGGAACTGATGCACAACATCAACAGGGTTCAAAGGTCAACTGTCAGAACAGGGATCGCAAATGCTCTAGGTAAGGAAATCCTGCTACTAACAAGAAATAGAATGACCTGTAAGTGTTTTTGCCTCAGTTTTATTCCTGCTCTTTGTTAATAACAACACACAGTGTGTAAAAATATTAACAGTTGTGATGTTCAAAATTACAGCAAAATAGGCCCCCTGGTGTGAAAGGAAAAAGTTAAATTGATAATTGAACATAATAAGTATCTGTTTTAAGTGTGAATAGACCATTTCATCATCATGCACTGTTACCTTTATGCTTTAATCATGTTTTGATGTTAATTGGGCATAAAAGAAATTCTGGGACAAGCACAAAACTTTCAACAATTTCTCATTTTTTCTGTACATTAGAATGTGTGGACTGAAGTACAATGGTATATGCATTGTGACTAACATGTCCAATAAGACATTGAATCAACTGTTGATAAATTTTGAATACATGTATTAAAATATAAAATCCTGCCAGTTCTGTACTAACCTATTTTGTGTGTTTGGACACAGGGAACAAAGGAGGTGTAGGAATCTCCTTCTACTTCAGGGGTACCTCCTTCTGCTTCGTCAACACTCACCTGACGTCGGGAGACGAACGCAATGCCAGGTAGGTTCCCCTTATTGATTGCTACCTTAGTTTGCTGTGATCAGGGGCTTGTGTATACTGATGAAATCAAGAGCTATGCTGGATTGGTGTAATCACACCAGGGCCCGTATTCATGTAACTGGTCTCGTGTCCAAGCATAAATCCTGTGCTCAAACGAACTTTCTTGTAACTTTCTTAAATCATGCAACATAGCGAAAAACCAGGTGTAAACATTGAAAACAGTATTTAGCATGAAGCCTTTCCAAATTTCTTACATTACATTGACAAACAGATTTTTTTTCATAATTTTATTACTTGCACAAGAAATTGGGCTTGAGTACAGAATCTGGGTTTGAGCATGTGAATGGTGGCATGGATACGGGCCCAGATTGTGTAGTGGAAGGGACCTGATCAAGAGCAATCTACCCTTCTCTTTTTAACCAGGGAATTACCTACATGTCATCGCAACATGTACACATTACAAGTGTATAATGGTACACTGGCAAAAATAATGTATAACATAATCGCGATTGTTAGGATATTGTATTTTCCTACTTGTGGTGTTTTCTGTAGGTGCCACACTGATTTTGTACAGTACAATATAATTTTATTGAATATTTTAACATTATTATGTTTTAGACGTAACCAGAACTTTAAGGATATCATTAAGGGGTTGTCACTAGGTCAGAAACATCTCGGACTGACGGACATCACAAACCAGTTCCATCACTTGTTCTGGTTGGGTGACCTCAACTATCGTGTGGAGGAGGATATACAGGTAATTATGAATTAACGCCTGACATCCTTAACGTACGTATATGTTACCTTGTGTTGAGCCATGGTTCCAATTATTAACATACATATATGTTACCTTGTGTTGAGCCATGGTCCCAATTATTAACATACGTATATGTTACCTTGTGTTGAGCCATGGTTCCAATTATTAACATACGTATATGTTACCTTGTGTTGAGCCATGGTTCCAATTATTAACATACGTATATGTTACCTTGTGTTGAGCCATGGTTCCAATTATTAACATACGTATATGTTACCTTGTGTTGAGCCATGGTTCCAATTATTAACATACGTATATGTTACCTTGTGTTGAGCCATGGTTCCAATTATTAACATACGTATATGTTACCTTGTGTTGAGCCATGGTTCCAATTATTAACATACGTATATGTTACCTTGTGTTGAGCCATGGTTCCAATTATTAACATACGTATATGTTACCTTGTGTTGAGCCATGGTTCCAATTATTAACATACGTATATGTTACCTTGTGTTGAGCCATGGTTCCAATTATTAACATACGTATATGTTACCTTGTGTTGAGCCATGGTTCCAATTATTAACATACGTATATGTTACCTTGTGTTGAGCCATGGTTCCAATTATTAACATACGTATATGTTACCTTGTGTTGAGCCATGGTTCCAATTATTAACATACGTATATGTTACCTTGTGTTGAGCCATGGTTCCAATTATTAACATACGTATATGTTACCTTGTGTTGAGCCATGGTTCCAATTATTAACATACGTATATGTTACCTTGTGTTGAGCCATGGTTCCAATTATTAACATACGTATATGTTACCTTGTGTTGAGCCATGGTTCCAATTATTAACATACGTATATGTTACCTTGTGTTGAGCCATGGTTCCAATTATTAACATACGTATATGTTACCTTGTGTTGAGCCATGGTTCCAATTATTAACATACGTATATGTTACCTTGTGTTGAGCCATGGTTCCAATTATTAACATACGTATATGTTACCTTGTGTTGAGCCATGGTTCCAATTATTAACATACGTATATGTTACCTTGTGTTGAGCCATGGTTCCAATTATTAACATACGTATATGTTACCTTGTGTTGAGCCATGGTTCCAATTATTAACATACGTATATGTTACCTTGTGTTGAGCCATGGTTCCAATTATTAACATACGTATATGTTACCTTGTGTTGAGCCATGGTTCCAATTATTAACATACGTATATGTTACCTTGTGTTGAGCCATGGTTCCAATTATTAACATACGTATATGTTACCTTGTGTTGAGCCATGGTTCCAATTATTAACATACGTATATGTTACCTTGTGTTGAGCTGTGATTCCAATATTATCAACACTTATGAATCTGCCTTAGGTTTATTTTAAACTAAATGGCTCATGTCAGTGATCAAAATAAAGAAAAATAAAGGAGTAAAGGACTCAGGACCTTAAGGGTCATTTCCGGCCTCATCAGGGATTTAGAGTTAGTTTAGAGTTAGTTGTTATATTCGTAATCTGGAATAAATGAAGTACGCAAATATGAAATATCAAATTCATTCGACAACTGGTTTAGGAGATATGTCATTACAAAGAGAGACTTAGATGGCATTTTCATTATAAAATGTGTGGATATTGTCTGTTGTATTCTTTTTCAAATAATTTGGTTGGAAAAAAAATTGACATCCTCCACAAGCATCAAACAAATAAATATTTGTCATGCTTTAATATTGTTATACCAGTGTTCATTCGTAGAAAGGAATTTTTGTTTGTCACATGCAGAGGCTTTCATTTCTGCATGTTAACTGTCCAAAATCACCATATATTTTGCTATTGTTGCATAGCAACGCGTTGCTATGTTAGGGCATCTGCGCTTGGGCTTTGGAAAAAGTCTACACCAAGATTGATAGCCCCAATCAACCAATATAATGATGTTTATAGCAGAAATTGGCAAATAAATTCAAGTTGTAATTTTCATGAGACCAAAAATTACCCATAGTGCCCCAAGTCCTTTGTGTTGTCTAATTAACTACCATTTGATTGATGTTTCAGGTGCTGCTGAGGAAGCTGGATGACAATGATATAAAGAGTTTGCTGGCTAAGGACCAGCTACGACGATCGCAGAAGGAACACAAGGGGTTCAATGGTTTCCGTAAGTTTTCTGATATAACCTGTCCTGGTGGGTTGTAAGGTTGGGAGTGACAGTGTTTGACAGTGTTTTAAAGATACTATAATCCCCTAAACAGCTAAATGGAAGAGTTGTTTAGATAAGTTTACCTTAGGGAGGCCCTTGGTGACATAATTTTACTGGGGTTTTTTTGTGGGGAAAATGAGTTTCACAAGGGCTTTAAGTATTTGCCTTGGTTCGTCCATGCATGCTTCACCCTGATTAATATTTGTACTTATCTACATTGCTCTACTATACGAAGTCTCACAGTTATCAAAACTTCATGTGTGGATATATCATGATGACAACATGTACTACACAAATATATCAAATATATATAGGTCACTTTTACTTATATTTCATGCTTCACCGACTTTGATTAGACTCTTTGTTTAGCTCCATTTACTTGGAAGCGGAAGTGAGGACTTTTTTTTTTTATATTTTATGAACATTTTTTCTATGATAATTGTTTATTTAGACTTTCAAATGTTCAAAACATTTTGAACCTTTTCAGAAGAAGCAGAGATTTTCTTTAAACCAACATACAGACTTCCTAGGAGTGAGAGAAAGTGGATTTACGACTGGAAGAAGGTCAAGAAGACGGGGGTATGTCTCTAACAGTCTGCTGTTATCACTGTTTGTGTCCTCGTCCTGACAGTTAATATCAATACACATTATACCTTAGCAATGTGAAGGACAAAACTAAAAAAGCGTGGATATTTTTTTTACTGTTGAAGGACGAAAGTTCCCAAGAATACAGTCTCCCATTTAACATGGATAAGTATTAAAGGAAAACAATTCTGATTCCAATGCCAGCTGTAAGTTCTGGGAAGGGTGTACTGGAATGGGAGGGGTAGTTACCTTGTTAATCACAAGACAAAAATAGTAGGTGAGAGTGATTAAAGTAGAGTGGGGGATGTTTGTAGGAGGTCAGGGGCACTTAAAGGGCGTAGAAAGAGGTATTGTAGGGGAGGGGAGCTGATAGTGAGGGAGGGGAGCTGATAGTGGGGGAGAGGAGCTGATAGGGAAGGAGGGGAGCTTATTGTGGGGGAGGGGAGTTGATAGGGGGGGAGGGGGGCTGATAGGGGGGGAGGGGAGCTGATAGTGGGGAGGGGAGCTGATAGTGGGGAGGGGGGCTGATAGTGGGGGAGGGGAGCTGATAGTGAGGGAGGGGAGCTGATTGTGGGGGAGGGGCGTTGATAGTGGGGGAGAGGAGCTGATAGCGAAGGAGGGGAGCTGATAGTGAGGGAGGGGAGCTGATTGTGGGGGAGGGGAGTTGATAGTGGGGGAGAGGAGCTGATAGCCAGGGAGAGGTGCAAATAGTGGCGGAGGGGAGCAGATAGTGAGAGAGGGGAGCTGATAGTGAAGGAGGGGAGCTGATTGTGGGGGAGGGGAGTTGATAGTGGGGGAGAGGAGCTGATAGCCAGGGAGAGGAGCAAATAGTGGGGGAGGGGAGCAGATAGTGAGGGAGGGAGCTTACAGTGGGGGATGTTTGTAGGAGGTCAGGGGCACTTAAAGGGAATAGAAAGAGGGAAAGAGTGATTGTAGGGGAAGGGAGCTGATAGCCAGGGAGAGGTGCAAATAGTAGGTGAGAGTGATTAAAGTAGAGTGGGGGATGTTTGTAGGAGGTCAGGAGCACTTAAAGGGAATAGAAAGAGTGATTGTAGGGGAGGGGAGCTGATAGCCAGGGAGAGGTGCAAATAGTAGGTGAAAGTGATTGAAGTAGAGTAGGTGATGTTTGTAGGAGGTCAGGGGCACTTTAAGGGAATAGAAAGAGGGAAAGAGTGATTGTAGGGGAAGGGAGCTGATAGCTAGGGAGAGGTGCAAATAGTAGGTGAGAGTGATTAAAGTAGAGTGGGGGATGTTTGTAGGAGGTCAGGGGCACTTAAAGGGAATAGAAAGAGTGATTGTAGGGGAGGGGAGCTGATAGCCAGGGAAAGGTGCAAATAGTAGGTGAAAGTGATTGAAGTAGAGTGGGTGATGTTTGTAGGAGGTCAGGGGCACTTAAAGGGAATAGAAAGAGTGATTGTAGGGGAGAGGAGCTGATAGTGGGGAGGGGAGCTGAAAGTGAGGGAGGGGAGCTGATAGTGGGGGAGGGGAGCTGATTGTGGGGGAGGGAAGCTGATAATGAGGGAGGGGAGCTGATAGTGGGGGAGAGGAGCTGATAGCCAGGGAGAGGGGCAAATAGTGGCGGAGGGGAGCAGATAGTGAGAGAGGGGAGCTGATAGTGAAGGAGGGGAGCTGATTGTGGGGGGGGGAAGCTGGTAATGAGGGAGGGGAGCTGATAGTGGGGGGGGAAGCTGATAATGGGGGGGGGGAGCTGATAGGGGGGGAGGGAAGCTGATAATGAGGGAGGGGAGCTGATTGCGGGAGAGGGAAAGAGTGATTATGGGGGAGGGGAGCTGATTGTGGAAGAGGGGAGCTGATAGTGGGGGAGGGGGGCTGATAGTGGGGGAGGGGAGCTGATTTGGGGGGAGGGAAGCTGATAATGAGGGAGGGGAGCTGATTGCGGGAGAGGGAAAGAGTGATTATGGGGGAGGGGAGCTGATTGTGGAAGAGGGGAGCTGATAGTGGGGGAGGGGAGCTGATAGTGAGGGAGGGAGCTGACAGTGGGGAAGGGGAGCTGATAGTGCGGGAGGGGAGCTGATAGTGAGGGAGGGAGCTTACAGGGGGGAAGGGGAGCTGATAGTGGGGGAGGGGGGCTGATAGTGGAGGAGGGGAGCTGATAGTGCGGGAGGGGAGCTGATAGTGAGGGAGGGAGCTGACAGTGGGGAAGGGGAGCTGATAGTGGGGGAGGGGAGCTGATTTGGGGGGAGGGAAGCTGATAATGAGGGAGGGGAGCTGATAGTGGGGGAGGGGAGCTGATTGTGGGGGGGGGAAGCTGGTAATGAGGGAGGGGAGCTGATAGTGAAGGAGGGCTGATTATAGTGGGGGATGTTTGTAGGAGGTCAAGGGCACTTAAAGGGAATAGAAAGAGGGAAAGAGTGATTGTAGGGGAAGGGAGCTGATAGCCAGGGAGAGGTGCAAATGGTGGCGGAGGGGAGCAGATAGTGAGAGAGGGGAGCTGATAGTGAAGGAGGGCTGATTATAGTGGGGGATGTTTGTAGGAGGTCAAGGGCACTTAAAGGGAATAGAAAGAGGGAAAGAGTGATTGTAGGGGAAGGGAGCTGATAGCCAGGGAGAGGTGCAAGTAGTAGGTGAGAGTGATAAAAGTAGAGTGGGGGATGTTTGTAGGAGGTCAGGAGCACTTAAAGGGAATAGAAAGAGGGAAAGAGTGATTGTAGGGGAAGGGAGCTGATAGCTAGGGAGAGGTGCAAATAGTAGGTGAAAGTGATTGAAGTAGAGTGGGTGATGTTTGTAGGAGGTCAGGGGCACATAAAGGGAATAGAAAGAGTGATTGTAGGGGAGGGGAGCTGATAGCCAGGGAAAGGTGCAAATAGGAGGTGAAAGTGATTGAAGTAGAGTGGGTGATGTTTGTAGGAGGTCAGGGGCACATAAAGGGAATAGAAAGAGTGATTGTAGGGGAGGGGAGCTGATAGCCAGGGAAAGGTGCAAATAGGAGGTGAAAGTGATTGAAGTAGAGTGGGTGATGTTTGTAGGAGGTCAGGGGCACTTAAAGGGAATAGAAAGAGTGATTGTAGGGGAGAGGAGCTGATAGTGAGGGAGGGGAGCTGATTGTGGGGAGGGGAGCTGATAATGGGGGAGGGGAGCTGATAGTGAGGGAGGGGAGCTGACAGTGAGGGAGGGGAGTTGATAGTGGGGGAGGGGAGCTGATAGTGGAGGAGGGGAGCTGATAGTGAGGGAGGGAGCTTACAGTGGGGAAGGGGAGCTGATAGTGTGGGAGGGGAGCTGATAGTGAGGGAGGGGAGCTGATAGTGGGGAGGGGAGCTGATAGTCAGGGAGGGGAGCTGATAGTGAGGGAGGGCTGCTTATAGGAGAAGGAGTGTTAAAGGATGAAGAAGGGGAGGGAAAGATGTGCTTACCAGGTAAAATGGGAGGGAGGGACTTTTACAGGGAGGGTTGCTTTATGTTGTAAAGAAAAAACATTGCTTGTCAAAGTTGCTGATTATGTTACATATTTAGTACATCAGTCTGTTTAGTCATACTTTATAGATTAAGAACAAAAATTGAGCGTAATGTATATCACTTCTGTGAATACTTGTTATATGCTTGCTTTCATATTTACGGTTGGTCAGTGTAGATGTGCTGTGACAAGGATGTTGATATTTGTAGGTTAGGATAAATACGCCGTCCTGGTGCGATCGTGTGTTATGGCGCTCCTACCCAGGAACATACATACAGAACCTTGCGTATGGTAGGTTGCCCACAACTTAAAAATAGATTTAGTTGTTGCTGTAAACTGAAAAAAAAACATGGCTGTTCGAAAAAAATAAGCAGTTGCTATACACATGTTTAAGAAAGCAAATAAAATGAAACCTGAGATTACCACCACCTGGGACCATATTTATGAAACTGTTCTCATGCTCAAACTCCGACTCAAAGCCAATTTATTGTAATGAATATTTAAGAAATCACATTTTGTTAATAGTTTATAAGAATTTAGGAAAGAGTTAAAGCTCAATACCGTTTTCAATGTTTACACTTAGAATTTGATAGTGTTCATGCTTTTACGTAAAAGTTGGTTTGAGTACAGAATGCATGCTTGAGCATGAGTAAGCTAGGGCCCTGAGTTTACTGACATCTGATTACTTTCCGGACATGTGAGGTAATTGTCATGTGACGTTTATTAACAACATCTCGTTAAACCTAATATGGTGACAGAGGCAATTGGTTTTACTGACACATTGTCATATCATAAGGGTTGAACATTTACAGGTTGTGCGGACAGTGTCCTTGGCAGTGACCATCGTCCAGTCTTTGCCTTGTTCAACACAGGGATTGCCTCAGACTTTGTGATGAACCGGGACTCATTGGCTGAAGAATCTCCCACTAAAATCGTGTTCCAGCAGATTGAGGCTGAGGTAACAACCTACCTGGCTAAGTAACAGATACATTCACTTAGGCTGAAGTTACAGATACAGTCACTTAGGCTGAAGTTACAGATATATTCAATTAGGCTGAAGTAACAGATACATTCACTTAGGCTGAAGTTACAGATACATTCACTTAGGCTGAAGTAACAGATACATTCACTTAGGCTGAGGTAACAGATACATTCACTTAGGCTGAAGTAAGAGATACTTTCACTTAGGCTGAAGTAACAGATACATTCACTTAGGCTGAAGTAACAGATACATTCATTTAGGCTGAAGTAACAGATACATTCATTTAGGCTGAAGTTACAGATACATTCACTTAGGCTGAAGTTACAGATATATTCACTTAGGCTGAAGTTACAGATACAGTCACTTAGGCTGAAGTTACAGATACATTCACTTACGCTGAAGTAACAGATACATTCA